TGTTTGATAGTGTCTTAAAAGTTAAATGTAGATTTCCCAGTGATGAAACCTTTCTTTCCTACATGGTCATCCAAAAGCACATGCTTACAAATGAACATTGTCCACAAATTTGCACACAGCTTTTGGGGAGGAAATATTTATTCATCTTCATTTATTTTTAATTGACATAATGATCTATTTATGATCTACAACATGATGTTTTGAAACATGTACACATTAAGGCATAGCTGGTAATCACATCAGCATTTCCTCCCATATTGTGCTGTTGTAGGGACAAATGAGGCAAGGCACCAAAGATAGCAGGAAACAGTTTTATTTGGCTGCAGCAGGTTCAGAGGGCACAGCTTTTGCTGTAATCAGTCAATCCCTGAACCCCGAGTTCAGAGAGTTTCAGAGTTTTATACCTAGCATGTAAGGGGAGGGGCTCAGAAGTTCACAGTCTGCAGAAGTTCACATAAAAGCAGCTTTTTATTTCACTATTTTGGGCAAGTTAACCCTTCAAGGACAGCACCTGAGAAGGGGAGAGCTTCTTTTCCCCTTTCTTTCCTCCCTCTGCCAGCTGTTACCATGGAGCCCAATTGGTAACTTATCTCAGAAATGTAGACATCTCTGTGAAGCCCAGCTCAAGGCCAGAGCCTTGTTTACACATTTCTACAAACTACTATACTGTTTGTGAAAAATTAGTAAAGGGGTGTCCAGCACCCAGGAGTGCTGATATTGTTATGCTCAAATTCATTCAGGACCCCCAAAAGACCACCAGAGACCAAGATTGATGTAAGCAGCAAAGAGGTGTTTATTGCGAGCTAGCTGGGTCCTCCATGTGCACACACAGCACCTGGTGACGCTGAGAGGCCCGAGCCTAGGGTTTGCAGCAGTTTTATACACTCTTTGGGGAAGGCAGGGACTTCACTTACATCATAGCATCTCTTAGCAAATCATCACACACCGTGGGAAAATCAAACAACAACTCTAAAACATGATTAGCACATTCACTGGCGGGAACAAGTTGGGCAGGGGTGATTGGTTACTACAAGAGGGGGATTCGTTTGAACTAATTGGTTTAAGCCTAGAAGGGTGTACATGCTGAACTACATAGTTTCCCAACACGTTATCAACCACCATAAACTACTGGGAGGGTCATCTGGCATCCCAGGTATTTTCCCTGTCTCATGTTGATTGGTGACTAGGGGGTTGCTATGGATCCCCACCTAGCCTGACTCAGTCAGGGACACCTGGCTCAGCAGATCTCTCCTGTTATTTGTACATAAACAACTTAGCAGGGTGGGAATGTGCCTAGGAGTGCTCCATGGGTCTTTCCAAGGACAAAGGTCATGTCCATTCCTTGGACAGGCTTTGCTCTGAGGTAGAGGCTGGTTTTTCAGTATCTTCCCTGCTAGTGGCCAAGTAAAACAGGCCGATGAGAAAATAGGAAGTTATTTACACTGTACTTTTTTGCAGAGACTCTTTTGCTGACAGTCCCAAAATCAGCCATGTGAAGATTTCTGGAGAAGCCCCATTAAGACTTTTCTGTGGAGAAAGGGGGTGCCACTACAGTGTGTGGTGTGGTGATATGGTGTGATATGAAATAGTCATACAGTTGTCCTTTAGTATTCACAAGAGATTAGTTTTAGAACTTCCACCCTCCCCCTCGCCCCGTTGCTGCCACCCCCAACAATACTAAAATCCAAAGATGGAAGGGGATACATAAAGCAAGACAAGCTACATCCATGTGATGATAACTGCTGAAGATGGGCGTTTATCATAGGATTGTATTTTTGTCATGTGTAAAATTCCCTCAAAAATGTATTAGCAATGAAGAATTCAAATAAAACCTAGAGACTGTGCGGTGGTGCACACCTGTAATCCCAGTGGCTTTGGAGGTCGAGGCTGGAGGATCTCAAGTTCAAAGCCAGCCTCAGCAAAAGCTAAGTGCTAAGCAACTCAGTGAGTCCCTGGCTCTAAATAAAATACAAAAAGGGCTGGGGATGTGGCTCAGTGATCAAGTGCCCCTGAGTTTGATCCCTGGTACCAAAATAAATAAATAAATAAACAAACAAATAAATAAAATTGATTATATTTAAAAAATCTGGAATTTAAAAATTGTACACTTGTTTATATAGTGGAACATTATTCAATTCCTAAAAATAATACAGTGGGCCTTTATATGTTATATAGTGGAGAGACAGCCACATGAAACAGGAAAATTAGAGATTATATAAAATGTGATTACTTCTACAAATAATAAATGATACATTTACATGTACATGTATTTTAAGTATCTGCCCTTTCACTGTGCACTTCCATGTCTTAAAATATATTTCACAGGAGCTGAGGTTGTGGCTCAATGGTAGAGCACTTGCCTAGCACATGTGAGGCAAGTGCTCTACCATATATATATATATTCCCCTCCAAAAGTACTTTCAGACACCTATAAGGATATAGGTACAAAGATGTTTATTATAGTATAAGTTCCCCCCTTATATTAGAGATTGAACTCAGAGGTCCCTCAACCTTTTCAAACATTTTTAAATTTTGAGACATGTTCTTGCTAAATTGCCCAGGCTGCACTCAAAATTTCCATTCTCCTGTCTCAGCCTCCTGAGCTGCTGGGATTACAGGTGTGCACCACTGTGCCTGGTTTAGGCATTATTTTTAATAGCAAAATTATGAATAAAAATGTAGACCATCAATGCAGTGAACATTACAATATATCTATATCATGTATTAACTTGGACTAATGTCCAAAACATATTTTTGAGTATTAAAAGCAAGATAATATGTGACTCACCCATATTAAAAAAAATATACGGGGGCTGGGGTTGTAGCTCAGTGGCAGAGTGCTTGCCTTGTTCACGTGAGGCCCTGGGTTCGATCCCCAGCACTACATAAAAATAAACAAACAAAAATAAAGATATTGTATCCATCTACTACCAGAAAAATAAAAAATAAAAAAAAAAAATATACCCTCCACAGCATACAACTTTTCTGTCTCTCATATATATACTCACATATATATTTAAAAAGTAGTCTGCCTGGGCATGGTGGCAGAAAAATAAAAAATAAAAAAAAATACACCCTCCACAGCATACAACTTTTCTGTCTCTCATATATATACTCACACATACATTTAAAAAGTAGTCTGCCTGGGCATGGTGGTGCGCCCCTGTGATCCCGGAGATTTAGGAGTCTGAGGTAGGAAGATTACACTTGGAGGCCAGCCTTGATGACTTAGACTCTGTCTCAAAAATCAAAAGGACTCTGTAATCCTAGTGGCTCTGGAGGTTGAGGCTGGGGGATCTCAAGTTCAAAGCTAGCCTCAGGAATGGTGAGGTGCTAAGCAACTCAGTGAGACTCTGCCTCTAAATAAAATACAAAAAAGAGCTGGGGATGTGGCTCAGTGGCTGAGTACCCCCTGGGTTCAATAAAAAAAAAAAATCAAAAGTATTGGGGATTTAGTTCAGAGGAAGAATTACTCCTGGGTTAAATTACCAGTAAGGAGGGGATGTTTGGAAGGAGATTCATCCAACTATGAATAGTGATTACCCCTAGGGATTAGAAACAGAGAGATGGAAAGAGGTGTATTTTTACCTCTTTGTTGTATAGGCCTATATATTTTTAAAGACAGTAAGCATTCTCTGTATTTGCAAATATGAAAAAGTGCATTTTTTTTTAACATCTGGATTCTTTGAGCTCATACCCAGACTAGGTGCCTGAAACATCAAAACAACAAATATGCTATTTTAAAAACATTAGCGATGGCTCCCATATGGTTCAGGCTGTGTATAGAGTTTTGTTCAAATACTCAGAGTCCAGAATCCAGGGAGCAATTACAAAGTAGTTCCAACTTTCACTTGCATGAGTTCACAGGACATTAGAGCCTCCTCCTGCACTTCTCTGTAGGCATCATATTTGTCCTTTCTGAAGGTACAGATCCTGTTCATCATCTTCTCCACTCCCTTTCCTCATTTTCCTGTTATTTATTTCTTTAGCAATTGTTTATATTTTACATCTTAAAGGATCCAAGAATCTGGGTAAAGACTCTTCTTTACTTGGGGTCTAGGAAAAGGTGAGGAAGTGCTTGGACCCATTCACATGTTGATGCTCTCTGGTTTCTGCAAATTTAGGATTTTAATTGTTAGTATTGGATCATGTGCATTATAGCTTATTATTCAGAGTGGGAAGAGGGAGTAGAGGCGTTGGTATCAGTTTATTCCTCACAGTAATTCTTAAATTTGTTTGGTATGTGGAGGTATAAAAGGTATACCTCGGAGTGCGGGGGTCGTGTCAAGCTGCAGTTTAAAACGCTGATCTCCAAAGACTGGACTCGAGCGATCAAGACTGCGCCTTCCTGGAGGCTGCACACCCTGATCTTTGCAGATGTCGCTTGCTCTTCCGAGGAGACTAAGTCAGGTCCCCTTTGACCTCCTAATGACCTGGAGATGAGAACTGGGGCCCTGGGAAGGACAGAGCTATAAAAGCACCGATGTGCAAGTCTGGCCAGTAACTACATCTTTTCTCCTCAACAAAGAATAAGCCTCAGTCTACGCCGCCTCCGGCACCTGAAACTTTAAATTTAGGGAAACCATTAACTGAGACCAGGCCTTCGGGTAAATTAAAAATCCCAAGGTGCCCGTGACCCCAGGAGGCCTGGGAGGGTCCCAGAGGATGGAGCAGCGAGGAAGTAACGTCGCCATCTTGCAGGGTGGGCTGCGCAGGCTCTGGGAGCAAGGCCGCCGCACAGAGCAGGAGAGGACGTGGAAGGGTTGGAGGTAGGAGCGCGCGCTTATGAGGGGCCACTGCGCGTGCGCAATAGAGACGGCGGCGGAGGGTCTGCGCACGGTACGAGTGCGCGTGCTCAGTGGGAGCCCGCGAAGTACCTGGAAGAGGTGGGGGGCGAGGTAAAAAGGAGCAGAGTTGAAGAGCGCTTGCGCAGGAGCTGGACCGTACAGGGAGGGGGAACTCTCGAGCACGCGCACGGGGCGGGACTTGGAAGGCTCTCGCGAGATCTTCGGAGACCATATATATGCGTGGGGAGCCCGCGTCCTTTCCCTGGCGTGATTCCGTCCTGCGCGTCTCTTTAGAGCAGCCACCCATTTTCCGTCCGCCTTCTCTCCCACCTAAGTGCGTGCTACCACCCCATGGAAGATTCGATGGATATGGACATGAGCCCCCTGAGGCCCCAGAACTACCTTTTCGGTAACTCTTCTTTCGGGAGTGTTCAAGCGAGGCCGTACAGGGCCTCCTGGCTCTTGGGGGGCCGGGAATTAACTGAGGCCTGAGCTAGTGGGGGGAGCTAAGCCTGTTGGAGGCCTGCGAAGACGGGAGGCGCTGCCAGGGCCCTGGTGGCGGGGCGATGGGAGGCTGTGAGAGCTGGGGGAACCGACGGCGTGGAGGGGCGGGGGGGAAGGAGCGGTCCCAGGCCTAGGGATTGAGGCGACGCGGGACTGGAGGGCTGGATGTTTGCTTTGCCTGGGTAGGAATATAGGCCTTGGGCATAGCTTTCCTTTCCCGGGCTGAGTTTGTAGGCCTGTGGATGCACGGTGGCATTTTTTGCTACTGAACTCGCGGTGGGTGGCCGTGGCGATTGTGTGCTGTTCCCAGCGAGGCCTGGGGTGCTTTCGTGGAGGGAGGGCATTAGTAGAATTTGCCGTTGCTCTAGTTCTCGGTCCCGAGCTCTGGCGTCCAGAATTACTCGAGATGCTTTGGCCAGTTACCGGGGGCAGGGAGGCGCGGCGGGGCGTGAGCAGGCCGCTACGGCTGGGAGCACGTGGTTGCCACGTGGTTGGGGGAGGGAGGAGGTGTGGGCTTAACATCCGGGGCTCACGGGTGTTTTGTCACCCCAGAGCCTGGGGTCCAGTGACTTACAGGAGGTTATTGGATGGAAAATGGGGTGCAATGGTTGGTAGTAACAGGATTTTGGAGGTCTTTGTTTGGTGCTTACAATATGATGGTAGTTGGCATTTTTAGACCCGGTTAGTGTCAGTGCGGTCCATTCCGTCATCCCCATATTGAGGCGACGATACTGAAGATGGTAGAAATGATTTAACAGTTTTTGCAAAGTATGGCGAAGATCTGAACTAAGACCCTTGACTCAATAATAGAAATGAGGTTTAGTTTTAGGGGAGAAAGGGCAGCAGAGGTAAACTAGTAGGACTGAGTTCAATTAAAGACCTGAGATTTAACCGGGGCTTTGTTAAACTTTCATTCTGACAATATTTAGTAATTTTAACATTCATGGAGTGGGATTTCCATTCACTTACAATATGAGAAGACTTTATTCCTAGCCATTTTGGATCGTGAAAATCCCTCAGATTATATCAGTGATTTTTGGCAACTTTTTCTGTCGGAAACTGGAAACGTCTTTTGGGTCTATCACCAGAAACAATGTCTGAATTCATAATGTTTCTATCACATCATGTTGATTCAAAGACTGGAACATTACTGTAACAAACTTGGCTTTTTTTCCCTAGTTGTAGGGTTTTTTTTTTTAATTTTTAAATTGTTAATATTGGTGTTGTGCAACCACTCTCATTTGTGAATTTCCACTTTCCAGAGTAGATAATTCCACTTTTTAGAACAGTGGGAAATCAGTATTCATTAGGTTGATTTAAGATCTGAGGTTTAGATACAGATGTACTAAATTGTTGAACCAGTGGCAATAGGGTCTGTCTCCTTGTAGTTGAGAATGAAATTCTGTAACAAGAAATTGGAGTTTATGAAGTCTTTATGTGTGTTAGTTGGTGCTTGTAGATAGAGCTCATGAAAATCCAGGAAGAATCTTTTGCTGCCCTCCAGGGTAGCTGGAGTAGTGAAAACCTAGTTCGCAGGTTAACCAGCACCTGTTGATTGTAAACATTTGGTGTTATTTTTATCCTTGTTTTATTTGATTTTTTTTCCTCCCCTTCACAGGTTGTGAGCTAAAAGCTGACAAAGATTATCACTTTAAGGTGGATAATGATGAAAATGAGCACCAGTTATCATTAAGAACGGTACTTAAACGTTCAAATTATCCCTTTTCAAACTGCTTTCTATTAATGTGGTATAAGACTTTTGCTTTCGTGTCTTCTTGTAAGATGGTGTTATGTAGATGTCATCCCTACAAATTCGATAAAGCACTTGGCATTTTCATTGGGTTTCAGGTGAAGTCCAGTCAAAAGTACTTCTTGGGTTCATCAGGTGCTTTATAAAGTTAGATATAAGATTACTGGGCAGCAGTAATCTTTCTTGTCTTCCATAGACTGGTCTATTTTTCACCTTTGTAGTAATTGTCCAATAAATGTTTTACCTTTATTGTGTATGCAGTTTTACACATTTCTTTACGTTGCCACTAGGAGTCAACACTGTAGATTTGTTTCCCATTGATGGTGATGATGAAAAGGTTATACCATTAAAAAAATGCATAATAGATGGGGGTTATAAAATAGATAGGACTTGACCATAAAGCACTTTTTTTTCTTTTTAATCAGGTCAGTTTAGGGGCTGGTGCAAAGGATGAATTACACATTGTTGAAGCAGAGGCAATGAATTATGAAGGCAGTCCAATTAAAGTAACACTGGCAACATTGAAAATGTCAGTACAGCCAACGGT